GCTCACCTGAATAACTATGGTCCTTCTTGCCTCTTCATCAACAGATTCTTTTTCCTAGATATTCCCATGTAAAATTGATCACCCATTGTACCCCATCCTGTTCATGGGACATGAGGATTGTCCTTATTTCTTTGAAAAATCATGGGATTGAAAGATTTTTAAAGATTTTTTTCCTATACAATTGATCTTATATTGTGGCCCTTGGGGACATGATTGAACGAATTTGAATCTACACTTCCTGAGGATGCTTCTGTATTAATATGACTTTTTATGGCTTTGCTGTTCTTATATTAATAAGAACAAGATTTTTCTTTTTTAATTTTTCCTACATATACCATTGTATATCTTTAAGTCCCTGTTGTGGCACATCTCTAATCTTGGGAGTCATGATTTGAACATACAGTGTGGTCTCGTTATTAGGGTGACGGTTTTATAAGATAGAATGCTTATTACGTTGTAAATTCAAAGCACAAAACCATTTCTTAAACAAGAGGCCCAAGGGCCTTAACAGTCACCTGAGTACAATACAACAATTTAGAGGATCCATAAACTGATACATGAAGCTTTGTTGCCAAGAAGCAAGAAAATTAGTATGATTAGAATCAACAAAATAATTGGTCTAGTATCTATCCCCCCCCCCCCATTTATCACTATTACCATGCAGACTATTAACAAAATGTCTATTATTTAACCCCATATTATTACTTCTCACAATGGCCTCTCTTGGCCTTTGAAGAACATTTAAATTGATAAGTTATTTTTGTCTCATTTTTATTCATCTATTATTTACAAGTCATTAAAACTATGAAAGTACTTTTTGTATTATACAATAAATATTCTTGCATAATTCTTGTAATCTATTAACCTTTCAAATACATTATTTACATTGATTAATTATCAAAGGTAAATGGCAAAGGGGAATAACTTTGCTCAGCAGAATACAAGTTAATGGAGCCGTCAACAGGACCAGAACACTTGACTAAATGGTCCAGGTGTTCAAAATTCTTGTAAAAATACCCTTGCATATTAAAACTTTTACTCTGTTTGCCTTGAACATCCCCAGAAGCATAGAAGATTTTCAAAGAAATGCATTTTCACCATATTATTAAATAAATAAAGCCCCATCCTTACACCAGAACATCTGACCCACTGGCCACGAACTCACAATTCTGGAAGAAGCACCCTTTCTCATCATAACTATACACTTGTTTCTTTACTTTATAACCAGTAGCAGAAAAAATATTTTGAAAGAAATTATGCATTATTACTATATAATCAATAGAGCTCTCCCCCTCCCCCCCCCCTCACCAGAACCTCTGACCCAGGGGCCATGGGTTTTACAATTTTGAAGAGGCATTCTTCCTTATCATAACCATGCACTTCCTTTGTTTGAAAAATACCCAGGAGCAGAGAAGATGATTTTGAAAGAAATCATGCCTTTCCCCTATATAATCAATAGAGCCCCTCCCTAACACCAGAACCTCTGACCCAGGGGCCATGAAATTCATAATTTCTGAGGAGGCAACCATGCTCATCATAACTATGTACTTAGTTTATTTAATATCCAGGAGCAAAGAAGAAGATTTTCAAAGAATTATTGCATCTTCACTATATAATCAATAGAGCCCCGCCCTAACACCAGAACCCCTGACCCTGGGGCCATGAAATTCAAAATTTTGGAAGAGGCACTCTTGCTCATCATAACTATGTACTTAGTTACTTTATTTAATACCCAGGAGCAGTAATAGGGCCATGGACATGCATGCACGTGCGCGCCAATATACTTTATTGCCTTATTTAATGAAGCTTACAGGGAATAAGACACCAAAAGGAAGTTAGGGAGCGTTTGGGGAACATCTGTAACGGTCCCTGTTACAATTAATACTAGTTTCATTTGCAGTTAAACTGCGGTAATGGACAGTTTGGGTATCAAACATAATTTGGGCCAAATTTGACCTTCACTTAAGTTTTAACAGCTTGGATTGTGGCTTGGACTACTGTACGTGTACAAAATGTTGGCATATTCAAAATTTAGCACATTCACATGGTATGGTGTTGTTGGCGTAATCATGAATTAGCGCTATACATGTCCTTTCAGTGCTTTGCATATATAAATGATTTTTTTAGCTGTATTCATGCATTAGCGCATCGTTGTCTGTGCCAAAGCCGCTAAAATATGAAGCCCGCTTTTTTAAGTACACATAGAGTACCCCGCAGGTGTCAGCAGAAATTCAAATCAATAATTGCTGAACTGCTCATTGAACTCTGTTCAGTAATTTAAAAAATCAAATTTATTTTGACATACTGCTTGTGTGTTGTCAAATTTCTCACATTAATTAAAATAAACAAGAGGCCCAATGGCCTTAACGGTCACCTGAGTATAATACAACAATTTAAAGGATCCATAAACTGATAAATGAAGCTTTGTGCCCAAAAGCAAGAAAAATAGTGTGATTAGCATCAACAAAATATTGGTCTAGTATCTATCTGTCCCCCATTTATCACTATTACAATGCAGACTATTAACAAAATGTCTATTTTTTAACCCCATATTAATACTTCTCACATTGGCCTCTCTTGGCCTTTGAAGAACATTTAAAAAGATTAATTATTTTTGTCTCATTTTTATTCATCTATTATGTACAAGTCTTCATGATCATTAAAACTATGAAAGTACTTTTTGTATTATACAATAAATATTCTTGCATAATTCTTGTATTCTATTAACCTTTCAAATGCATTATTTACAGTGATTATAATCGAAGGTGAATGGCAAAGGGGAATAACTTTGCTCAGCAGAATACAAGTTAATAGAGCCCTGGCCAGGATGAGAACACTTGACTAAATGGTCCAGGTGTTCAAAATTCTAGTGAAAATACCCTTGCATATTAAAACTTTTACTCTGTTTGCCTTGAATATGCCCAGAAGCATAGAAGATTTTCAAAGAAATGCATTTTCACTATATTATTAAATAAATAAAGCCCCACCCTTACACCAGAACATCTGACCCAGGAGCCATGAACTCACAATTCTGGAAGGAAGAAGCACTCTTGCTCAACTAAACACTTGCCCGCCCTAGCACCAGAACCCCTGACCCTGGGGCCATGAATTTCACAATTTTGGTAGAGGGCTCAATGCTTATTACAATCATGCCAACAGTTTGACTGCTTGATGTCCAGGAGTGAAGAAGAAGATTTTTAAAGATTGCATTAATTTTGGTGGTTTTAGCCCCACCACTCAGGCCCCAGGGGGGCAGGGACCATGAAATTCACAATTTTTGTTCCCCTTCACCCATAAATGCTATATGCCAAATTTGGTTGAAATTGGTTAAGCTGTTTCAGAGAAGAAGATAAAAATGTTTAAATGTCAATGCACATTGCACAACGCACAACAACAGATAAGAACGGATAGCAATAGGTCACCTGAGTGATTCAGGTGACCTAAAAAATGTTGTTGTTTATGTAGTAACGACTATGAACTGAATATGAATACGGCTTATTGAAATTTTTATGAAAACATTATCTAAAGAGTCAGAAACAAAAGTAAAAGGAAATGGCGGTAGATAAATGAAGATCGCCGAATTTTTTATTAAAAATATGCATATTTCTTTTAAAATGAAGGATATAGAAGAAATATCATCATGAAGATATCTATTCAAGATAAGTTTTTAATAAATTATATATGTGTAAAGCATTTTAATTAAGAATTGGAACAGAAGAAGGGAACAAAAGGGCAAAAATACACCTCCCACAAAAATAACAAGCTTTCAAAATGATGTTTTAATGGATTTTATTGGGAAACCTTTTTTACGTTGCCCTTGGTATTACAATATTTTCCCGTGACAAAAATGAACATTGTAATAACGAGACCGCACTGTATTTGAGTCAACACTACCTGAGAATGCTTCTGTTTTAAAAGACTTATTATGGATTTGTTGTTCTTGAGAAGAATTTTCCTTTTATTTCTCTAAAACTGTGATTGCCCATTCAGGCCCCACCCTACTCCTGGGGTCATGTTTTGTGATTCCTGAGAGGATTTTTAAAAGACACCAATAATTTTTCACTAATTCTTAATTATCTCCCCTTGGAAGAAGGGTGGTCCTTCATTTGAAAAAAACCTCAATCTCCTTCAGCCAAGGATACTTTGTGTCAAGTTTGGTTGAAACTGACCCAGTGGTTCTTAAGAAGAAGTCAAAAATGTGAAAAGTACAGATCAACAGACAAAAAGACCCCTGAAAAAATGTGATAATAGAAAAGCTCACTTAAGCCTTCAGCTCAGATGAGCTAAAACAGATAGGAAAAGGTTGCACGAGTGACTCAGGTGACCTTATTATATTTATTGACAACAATTCAACAATTTCCAACTATGGGCCAAAAATTTAAACCCCCCCCCCCCTTCCATTTTTTTTAAACACAAAATCTGACATCCTGAGAGTACTTACATATTAATACCACTGAAAATGGCATTGGTGTTCTTGAGAAGAAGATTTCCAAAGATGCATCTTTCAGGTTAATCTTAGATCCCTCATTGTGGCCTTACCCTATACCTGGGAATGAATTGAACCTATATGTTAGGAAGTTTCCCATGAGTATCATCTTTTCTGACCCAGTGAGTTCTCAGAGAAGATTTTTTTAAAAACTGTCACCAAGTTTTTACCATTATTTATCTACCCTTGAAAGAGGATGTGTCCTCTTCAATTAACAAACTTGAATCTCTTTTATCCAAGGGTGCTTTATGGCAAGTATAATTGAATTTGGCCCAGTGGTACTGGAGAAGAAGTCAAAAATATGAAAAGTTTATGGACAACTCCTGATAGACAGGATGCTAGACACTCCTTTATCAGAAAAGCTCAATTTAGCCTCTGCTTTAGGTAAGCTAAAATTAGTTCATCAGCAACAAAACAGTGTGGAAATATATGATGGATTGATGGATGGAAAAGGGAATCACTATATGCCCCTTCCATTTCATAATGAGGGTATGAAAATTTAAAACATACTTACTTTAGTATCTAGTATGGATAAGATTTGCTCCTTGGCTTTTTTTACATCTTCAGGCAATCCAATGATTTTTATATGAGGATCTGAAATTTAAATCAAAATGTTAAAGTTTTTAATATTTATTATTCCCCAAGATCAAAGATCTGGGGAATATTGTTTTTGTCCTCTTTGACTATCTGTTTTGGTTTTGTGTGTGTGTGTGTATCTGTGTCTCTTTTATAAACTCTAACCTTCCTTATAACTTTGAACCAGTTTTAGATATAAAAAAATAACCACTTTAATATTTTTCATCAAAATTTTAACTCAACCATGCATTTTTCTGAAGAAGGAGATTTAAATAGAAATAAAATTTTTAATAGATTGGGATTAGTGTTCTATAAATCATCCCCTGACAAGCATGGGCAGGGGGATGATTACTATTAATTGAGTAATAATGAAACTGTGATTACTGCTATGACTTCCGGTGATGTAGTAGTAATTACTTGCTATATTCATGAGGAATGGAGGTAAGTAAATTGTCAATTTTGTTGTATTACACTTTTGAATTCGATGGAGTAACCATCCAACAACGTTTCATTGCTTAAAAACAGAATTTAGAATCAAAAACGGGTGGACCGTATCTATCTTGAATGAAGGTATGGCCCTTCATTTGAACAAACTTGAATCCCCTTTACCCAAGGATGCTTTGTGGCAAGTTTGGTTAAAATTGGCCCAGTGGGTCTGGAGAAGAAGTTGGAAAAGTGAAAAGTTTACAGATGGACAGACAGACAGACAGACAGATGGACTACAGACAAAATATGATCAGAAAAGCTCACTTGAGCTTTCAGCTCAGGTGAGCTAAATATAGGGTTGAAACAGCACATGCAGGTTCATGGACCAAATAATGTCCAGTGTCATCATTGCATAAAGATCTAAACATACAATATAGACTGTAAGGGGCAGATTATTTGACTATGAAGGAGTGTGCTTGGCAGATTTTGGAAATAAACAATCTGTCTTGAAAATGCTGTCATAGTAATTCCGTGAGGAAGAAAATGAATAAATTGTCCCTAATTATACCCGCACTTTCTAGAAAAAGTTCTGGTATATTGTTGTTACTCATGTCCGTCCGTCCGTCAGTCACACTTTCTTCTTCCTCAAACTCCTCTTAAATTTTACACAGTAGCCTAATCATCTTTTGGGAGATGGTTGGTGGTGGCCTGTAGATGTGCAATAAGGTTTCTGAATTTTCATTTTCACCCTGGGGGTCAAATGGGGGTGAAACAAGAGACCCAAGGGCCTTGAATCACTCTTCTGATAAACTGTTCAACCTTTCACTTCTATTTGAAACCTCTAAGTCTCCTATATATTTAGATAAACCCTTGAAATTCCAAAGGTAGGTCATCATGACCTCCATTTTAGATGAGACACTCTGAGAACCCAATGATGATTCTAATCCAATTAGTACCTAAGAGTTGGTCATGGTGACCTACTTATCACTTGTCATTCTCTGAGGACCCAAGATGCATCAACTAAGTTTGATGATTCTAAGCCAATTAATACCTAAAATATTTTTAAAATTATAACCATAAAATTTCAAAAGTAGGTCACAGTGACCTACTTTTCAGATGACATACTTTGAGGACCCAAGATGCATCAACTGACAAAGTTTGATGATTCTAAGCCAATAAGTACCTGAAACAGTGGTTCCCGTTTTATCGAATAGTCAAGTTGTCAGCCTAGTTTTATCCGAATAGCCGAATATTAGAATAGCTGATTGCTCCATACCGAGTCCAAAGATAGATGTATAGAGCTACATGTATTGATAATACATCGTAGCAAATTTCAAGCTTGCACTTTCGTTTTCTTTTGACATGTTTACTTAAAGACTTTACTAAAAATAATTTATTTCACTTACCTATGAATTTAATATGAAAATTTTTTTCAAAATATATTCTTTGATAGTTATTGCCATCTTTTTTCAGCACATGTTTACATTCCTTCTTCGAAGGTCGCCATCTTGGAAACGGAAGTAGACTAAATGCTTGACTAATAACCGTAAACTATTTTTCCCAGGATAGATTGTAAATTAAAAATAAAAATATTAAATATATGTAATTGTTTCATTTTGATTTGTTTCTTTAATACGGTTACATATTTTATACTGTGTGCAAGTTTACCAGTCTTGTACTTGTCTGCTGAAGAGAGATTTTGAGAGCCATGTGGAGAAAGATGGTATAAATTTGAGACGTATATTTATAGAATGGACCATTTGTGATTTTTACCATAAATTTTGCACTGAAAAGTGAATAAATATTAAGCCAATTGACCAAGTTAAACGATTGAATAGGCTTATTTCATTATCCAAGCAAATTGTCATAAACAAGCTAATCAGTTCAATAATTAAAATTTCACGCCGAGAAAATTGCAAATAATTGTCATAATTAACAAGTGCATCATTGAACCCAAGCTGATCACCACAACTGTAATCAAAACATATCTATTTACTATGCCCACTATTGACACAGGTAAGGTGCCTGTGTGCGTCCAGCGTAACTAATCCCCTCATTGTCGTACTCAAGCCAGTCAAGGTAATTGGTGTCAAACTGTGTAAACAAAGGCTTCACATACGAAGTTGGAGGTGTGAACAAGGTGCTGATTATCAATAAACACTATGATAGTCCAAATTTTTGCATCGGATAAAACGAAACTCCAATATTTTCTCATCAGAATATCAGGTGAAATTATTAATAAATATATAAGAAATGGTTTTGTGCTGATATTATATTGAAATAGCCGAAATATTCGTTAAACTGCTATCCGATAAAATGGAAGCCACTGTATATTTAAATAAAGCCATAGAATTTCAAAAATAGGTCACAGTGACCTCTTCTTCAGTCAACTAACTCTGCGGACCCAAAATGCATCAACTGACAAAGTTTGATGATTCTAAGCCGATTAGTACCTGAAATATTTAATTAAAGCCATAAATTTTCAAAAGTAGGTCATGGTGACCTACTTTTCATTCGACCTACTCCGAAGACCCAAGATCCATCAACTGACAAAGTTTGATGATTCTAAGCCAATTAGTACCTGAAATATTCAATTAAAGCCATAAATTTTCAAAAGTGATTCACGGTGACCTACTTTTCAGTCGACCTACTCTGAGGACCAAAGATGCATCAACTGACAAAGTTTGATGATTCTAAGCCAATTAATACCTGAAATATTTAATTATAGTCATATAAATTGATTAGTAGGTCACAGTGACCTTCTTTTCAGTTGATATTTTTTGAGGACCCAAGATGCATCAACTTACAGAGTTTTATTATCATAGGACTTCAAATGACCAAATTATGCCTCTAAAACGCTTTGAAATCAAATGCCTGCAAAGTTCAAAAAGTAGGTCACTGTGACCTACTTTTTAATAAATATGTTTTATGACCCCAAGATGCATCATCTTACAAGATTTAATGATTCTAAACCTCTTTGTATTCGAATTAATGACCTTAATTGTTTTGAAAAAGATTAGCCACAAAATTCAAAAAGTAGGTCAAGGTGACCTTCTCCGTAGACCCAAGATACATCAACTGACAAAGTTTGATGATCATAGGCCTTAAACTGTTCAAAATATGCCTCTAAATCATTTTGAAAAAGAATGGCCGCAAAATATAAAAAGTAGGTCACTGTGACCTTTTTTTGAGTCAACATGATATGAGGTCCTTAGATGCATAAACTCACAAGATTTGATGATCCTAGTCCTTATAATAAGCAAAATATCAACATTTTCAGAAAATGTAATTTTTGGTCAATTTGAACTGACCCTGAGACCACGCCCTTTGCCCCAAGGTGATGCCTTGAACAATTTTTAATCTACAACATATCCTCATCCTTTTGTGTAAGTTTGGTGATAATCTGCCCAGTGGTTCTTGAGAAGAAGATTTTTTAGCAACCAGTACTTTTGTTTCTATTTTCTTAATTATTTCCCCCTGTTTAAGGGTGAAAACCCTAGTTTTAGTATAAACAGGAGCCCTTGGGCCAATGATACCCTGTGACAAATTTGACAATAATTGGCTAAGGGGTTCTTGAGTTATGGCCCATATTCTAAAAAGTTTACGCACACCGCACAAATGGCCATAGAATTAGCTCCTTGAGCCTTTGGCTCAGAAGAGATAAAAATGACGTTTTTTTAATACAAAAAGCCTCTGGTTCCCAGAACTCTTCTTACATTTTACACAGTAGCCTAATCATCTTTTGGGAGATGGTTGGTGGTGTCCTGTAGATGTGCTATAGGTTAAGGGATTTTCATTTTCACTCTGGGGGTCAAATGGGGGTTGAAAAATGATGTTTTTTATGCAAAAAGCCCCTGGTTCCCAGAACTCCTCTAACATTTTACGAAGTAGCCTAATCATCTTTTGGAAAATGATTGGTGGTGTTCTGTTGATGTGCAATAAGGTTTCGGCATTTTCATTTTCACCTTGGGGGTCAAACAGGGGTCAAAAAATGACATATTTTCTATACAAAAACACCATGGTTCCCAGAATTCCTCTTACATTTTACCCAGTATCCTAATCATCTTTTTGAAGATTATTGGTGGTGTCCTGTAGATGTGCAATAAGGTTTCAGAATTTTTTTTCTTATAGGTGTTCCATGTGACATTTGTAACAAACCATAAAAAAAGATTTCTGGCTGTGTCCTTTTGTAATAAGATGTAGATCAAAGCCATGAATGTAAACTTATTTTTTCACATATCTGGGAGATATGTCATTTTAGCTGCAGTATGAATTACACACTATAAAATCCTAAAAGGTTGATCAATTAAACTAGAAATATGTCCATAGGACATGAATGTCCCGCCAAATATATTTTAGTACTGCAATGCGAAAATTTGTATTAGTGTATGAAGTTTGATGAGAATATCTTGAATAGTTTCTTTAAAATTGAAATTGAAATCTAAAATATTGGATATAAATGATAAATTCTCATCAAATCATGTATCAGTGCATAAGCTTACATAAAAATATCTTAAAATGGTTTCTTTAAAAGTAAACAATATGAAAAATAAAGGAAAGTGAGGTTAAGGTCACAAGAAAATGCAAGAACA